CCTGGTGTGTTACTTGAGTCCTGTAATCCTCCTTGATCCAGATCCCTCAAAAAAGGACTACTTTCAGTATCTCACTACCCACTGGCTGCCGCTTCGGCTCCACTACCATGTCCCGTCCCCATCTTCTCACCGTTCCGAATCCATTCCTTTTGATGGACTTACAGTCTCAGATACATGCTGCCAACCTGCTGCAGGTGAGTCACATGGTTCTGGTAACAAACCATTTCCGGTGCCCACATATTTTCATTCAGATGATGATGACGCAATTACATTCCGTCAACCCACCGCAAGAAATTCTGGACGACAAGTCCTTTAAAAAGCGACGAGCCCATGGGATGTCAGAGAAATGAAAAAGGCTCATTCAGTTGATAGCGATGAACCTTACGATAACCTCGGTGACGTCATTATTCCTAGTACGGACAAAGAAGGTAAGCGTTTGAGAGGTTCTTCCAGCTCCGGCTACCTATATATAGCTAATAAACTTTTAGGGTGGTGTCGAAACAAAAAGTATATCGAGAAAACCGACGGCGGTTTCATGTGTATGGTATGCAAAAAGGTCTACGGCCGATACAATTCGGTCTCTTATCACGTGACAATTTATCACCGAAACCCTCCGATCAAGTGAGTTTATGGATGGAGTGGTCATTAAATCATATGACATCGTTTTGTCCTTTTCGAAAAGCACAATAAAATGGCGTGGAACGGAAGTGGAAGTCATGTGCTGGCGCCATCGAGGGCACATGAATAATCGGATGCTATGGGAGCCTTGAAAAGCTGAGACTCGTTTGAGTCGCTGTACCCGGTAACGCTGAATACTCTCGAAGGAGCTTCGACCTTTCATTCCTTCAAGTTAGGCTAATGTGGGTGGAGTGATAAATTATACCTGTCCATACCGTAAATTCGAGTTAGGGTGAAGGATACCAAGTAGGGTTGCAACCCTTTCGGGGCGAGTGTACTCAAGTCTAGGAAGGAAGAGTCGACGAGATTAGAAGTGCTACCAGATACCAGGTGATCGCGGCAAGACAGCGGTTAAAGGCAAGATTCGGGATAAATAGGTGTGGAAAAGCTTTCAGTTATGAACCTCCTGGATGGAACAGATGAGCGTGCCTACTCCCAGAGCGTGCCTTTGAGTAAAATGGTTATGGTCCCTCAACGTATGGTCATTTATTTTATTCTCTAAGCAAAATAGACAATGCCAGGAATTGGTTCGCTTCTCAGGGCTTTATTATAGACCGGTCGATCATTTTTCATAATTTAGATTGATTCTTCAAAGGTTTTTTAGATATACAAAAAGGGTCCGTTTCGACGTGGTCTGCGTTTTATCATGAAGATCAAGCACGACTCCAACCCCTTGATGCTTCTCATAGAAAGTAGAATGCGTGGCGTACACCGAGAAGTGGAGCTGGTTGATGACTTTACATTTGGCCCGAGCCTTAGGGCAGAACGCCGCTTTTTGCGTAGGCTGGCAGAGGTTGGGCTTGAAAGCCATTCATCACCAAAAGAAGCGGAAGACAGTCTCGTGTCCTGAGAATTCGCTGATAAGGCCGTATGTACAAAAGCTATCGGAAACACACGCACAATTTGTAGGCAGACGACTTTCCCCGCTGATTGTAAAAGGCTCTATTGAAGAGTGACACTGATCACTGATAACATTGTCCACTCATTTTTCTCGCACTTTCACTGAATACTCTCATCAATCGCTGACTTTCGACTTTACCACAATTTCTTAGGAGTCACGTTTTCTTCAACTACAATTGGCATCCTCAAACGCTGAACTGATCTTCAGTAAAGTGATGTCTTTCCTTAATACTGGCGATTTCGATATGACCGGCTGCACGTCGGAGCAGGTATGTACCCTTTTCTTATTATCGAGCATATCTCTCAGAAATAGCGTTCGATTTTCAGATGTTGGCAGTGGCCAACGAATGCCAGATACTCTCACTCCAGGAACGAAGCCGAGAAGGTTTTCAGACGCCGCTGCCTAAGCCTGGTGGGTTGCTTGAGTCCTGTAATCCTCCTTGATCCAGATCCCTCAAAAAAGGACTACTTTCAGTATCTCACTACCCACTGGCTGCCGCTTCGGCTCCACTACCATGTCCCGTCCCCATCTTCTCACCGTTCCGAATCCATTCCTTTTGATGGACTTACAGTCTCAGATACATGCTGCCAACCTGCTGCAGGTGAGTCACATGGTTCTGGTAACAAACCATTTCCGGTGCCCACATATTTTCATTCAGATGATGATGACGCAATTACATTCCGTCAACCCACCGCAAGAAATTCTGGACGACAAGTCCTTTAAAAAGCGACGAGCCCATGGAGATGTCAGAGAAATGAAAAAGGCTCATTCAGTTGATAGCGATGAACCTTACGATAACCTCGGTGACGTCATTATTCCTAGTACGGACAAAGAAGGTAAGCGTTTGAGAGGTTCTTCCAGCTCCGGCTACCTATATATAGCTAATAAACTTTTAGGGTGGTGTCGAAACAAAAAGTATATCGAGAAAACCGACGGCGGTTTCATGTGTATGGTATGCAAAAAGGTCTACGGCCGATACAATTCGGTCTCTTATCACGTGACAATTTATCACCGAAACCCTCCGATCAAGTGAGTTTATGGATGGAGTGGTCATTAAATCATATGACATCGTTTTGTCCTTTTCGAAAAGCACAATAAAATGGCGTGGAACGGAAGTGGAAGTCATGTGCTGGCGCCATCGAGGCACATGAATAACCTGATGTTATGGGAGCCTTGAAAAGCTGAGACTCAGTCGAGCTTGTATACCTGTAGACGTTTGCTCAATACTTTTTTTATCAAACGAGTATCGGACCTTCCATACCCGCAAGTAGCGGTATGATAGCTTCCAACTGTAAATTCGTAGTGTAGTTAAGGATACCAAGTTAAGAGTTGCCAACCCTGTCTGGGCGAGTGGATGCTTAAGTTTAGGAGAAGTCGACTAGATTCGGAACTGCTATTAGATAACCAGTTGATCGGGCAAGACAGCGGGCCCCCCCCCCCCCCCGGTAAAGCGGCTGCGAGTCGGAATAAAATATGGTGTGGAAAGCGTTCAGCTGTTGAACCCTCCGGAGGAACAGGTGAGCCTCCTAATTCCAGGGCCCGCCTATGTGGAAAGACTTATACTGGCGTGGGTCTTCATGCAAACTTCAAAATCAATTTGGGAAATGTAAGTCGATATTTTTAGGTGTGACCTCCTTGGTTGTCAATTCACGACAAGAGAAGCGCGTTACATCCACTTCCACAAGTACTATCGTCACGGAATCGCCCTCCCTGATAGCATCGACCAAGGTACATAGTCAACAGTGAACCTTGTCCCACGTCTCAAGATCGTTCAGCTTCGTTTCAGGTTCACGAAGATGCCCTCATTGTCGACATGTGTCGAAAAGTCCGGCGATGTTGGAGAAGCACATAAGAAGGCATCAGATTGTGGAAACGAGGTGAGTGAGGGAGGTTTCTCCTAGGGGATGCCTCACAAGCAAATTCAACCGTTCGCTCAAGATTTTCGAATGGGCGGAGTGACTATCAATCACTTCGGAAGTGCGAGCGGGTCGTACTGTGGAGTGAAGTGTCATTGTAGAAAGGGACCATTTTTGTAGGGTTTTTGATAATTTTGAAGGAAACTTCACGGAAAAAAGCAGAGCTAGAACACCTGCCATTTCTTGGGGACTTATCTGCTTCTCCCTCTCCATCTCTCGACGGCCATTTCGGAGTGGAAAGTGGGCGAAATTAGGGAGATGGAGTAAGTTAGGCTAGTCCGGAATAAAATACCGTAGTGTTATAGAAATGGCCGTGAAGGGTGGTCCAGGTGGGAGGAAAGTCATAATCGTGGCTGACTCACCTCACGTGCAGAGGTAGGGGGACGTTTGAAGAGCTCCTGAGATGGGGTGGTGGGTTGTCTCTTGAGACAAGCTTTCCGATCCATTCGAGACATGATCTTAACACAGAGCGATCAATTGAGCAATCTATAACCTCGGCCGAGAACGTTCCTATGCTCTCGTTGTAATTGCTTGCTCGCGGTCCCAGTGGTTATCAGTTCCGTGACGTTAAGCGGCGAAGTTTCGCGTGGTTCTTTTGCTGCTACGACTTTATCTGCTTGTTTTTCTCGAACGGTCTCGCTGACCGCCTTCCCCTTTCGAGGGTCGTAGTAACGGTGAAAACCATCTGTGTATCGTCGTCTGAAAGTGGCGGATGGGTGGCTAAGATCACAACTAAACTACTGATAATCGCTGATATCAGTAATAGTGAAGAAACAGGGGTTTCTCTGCTTACGCTTCACGGAGAAACCCAGTGGAGCTTTATCTTGGCGTCATCCGCTCAAGGAAAATGTAATCGGTGAAATTAGTCGATCAAAAAAGGAATTGACAGCATTTTCCAACAGACCAACTCACTATAGTCATCATTCGGCCGTAACGCTGAAACTGAAGTCAGGTCAGGCGTTTCGGATGTTTACCGACAAAACTCTGTTTACTCAATGATAACCACATGTGTAATATTGAAATATCATTTGTGTGAGTCATTGTGAGCGAATGGACTGAGAACTGTTGAAGTTTCAGGGATGACAGCGTCGAAGTCGATTCCACCTCAATGGACGTTGTTGTCGTCGATGATGAAATGACTGAGGTTGGTCTGTTCTCATGAGGCTGATAATCAATAATCATTTTAGACAATTATATCACAAGAAAAATTCTGAAAAATATTGGTGCTATCGCAATGCACGGGAGCATCCTTCAGGATTGAGCTTAGGAGGGGGCAGGAACTTTGGGTGGAATGAGAATTGCTCTCACACCTTGGAATCTCTCCTCACCTGTTCAGGGCTTGATCCCATTTAACAAAAAGAAGATGAGTTGCGCGGTTTTAAACGCATTGCCAAGGCAGTGGCCCCGTATCCTGCGATAGCGCCGAAAAATTTAATGTCATAGCGCTCGAAATTCCTGCAATTGATACTACTGATGTGGTGACCGCGTTGACCCACGAGGAACCGCAATCCTATAGATTAATTTGGTTACACTATGGTAGAATAAGGCACACACAGAAGGCGCCGTAAAAAGAGTTAGCGTTATGTAAAGGAAATATATAGCAG